GACTGTGCGATCGACGTGGACCCTTGTTCCCCCGTGTGCGACTACAGTCACAGCACTTCTTCATCCTTCCTTCTTGTGTGTGCCGTGTGCGCTTATGATGCCGCTGTTTGCTGTGCGATGCCGACCCATGTGAGCGAGAAACGACGCCCTTGCTGCTTTCGAACGGCGAATCCTCCGCTCCTCTTCCGTGTCACCACGTTCTTGGACGCGCTCGATGGCTGCCGGTTGCAACGATTCCACGTGGGTCTGTCTCGGCCCCTGTGCTTCTTTCACGGAATCGGGACTGCTCCGTGGTAGAGGCATTTTGTTTCAAGAGCGGTGCCAATGGTCATGTGTCTTTTTTCTGGGATCTTGCCACTCTGCATGGTGGTTGTGTGGGGCTGCGTGGGCGGTGGGAGGGCGATGGTGTTCCTGGCGTGGTGGCGTCTGCGCTTTCTTTGTCGGTTGTTATGCTTTGGTGGGGACTGTCTGTGGCCGGATGCCTCTGTGTGCCACTGTGCTTATTTGCCGTTGTTTCTTCCTCTTTCTCCTCTGATTGAGCTGTTAGAGATACTTCGGATTGAATTTCACAACTATCGTTTCAAGGTGTTAGGGATTACTTGCTTTATTAGGATTAGTAGCAGTGGGATAACAATTTGGCGGAATTGTGTATCTGGATTCGCCATCTGTAGAAAAGGATTTTGAAAGCAGGAGTTACGGTTGACGGGTCGAGAGTAACACACCACGACAGCCCCGTTGGTACTTGTTTGGGTTAGTGGATGTGGTCTGCGGTGAGTGCGTGTCCGCGCAGCCGGCACCGTGTGCGGCGCATGGCCATTACGGCTGTGCGTGTGGCGCTGCTTGTTCTGTTGGCGCTGGTTGCGGCGGCGGCGTGGATGCCCGCAGTGCATGCGGTGGTGTTGCGACTGCGGGGCGGTACGGTGGACAGAGCCATCACGGTTGGCCGCGCCGTGGGCACGGTGCTGATGGACGGCGTGTCCATCACGAACGGTGTGGCTGTGGTGTTCGACGTTGCAGCGATGCTTCCCGGCGCGCTGCGCATCGAACTGAGGAACTGCGTGTGCGACGGCGGTGCGCAGATCTACGTGCGGGGCCACAGCGGCGAGCCGGCGACTGACCGGAGCCTGGAGGTGAGCGTGAGCGGGCTGTCCGGGAGCCACTGCTCGCTTGTGTTTGTGCACAACCTGCCGGCACACACGAGCGTGACGGTCCGCGACTCGACGATTGTGACGCCTGGACCGATGCACTACTCCCAGGTGGAGCGGCCTGACGGACGCGGTG